GCCTTAAAATCAGGTGAATGTTGTTGCAGGATTGGCCACATTTTTGCCTGTTTGAGAAACATTTGTATTCAATGCTGCCTCGATGTACTATAAAACCAAGATTGGGGTTGTCCGCTAAGAATTCAAAAAATCTAATAAAACGAAGAATGAATCAATGAAATGTTGCTTGATCTTTAGTACAATGAGTTGATTTTCTCACCCAAAAAGATCTAAATGTACTTTTAAGCAATTGCTCTATAGACCCTATACTTGTTCCTGAAGTAGAAAACGTTCCATTTGTTCTGAATGGCTTCTTTCAAAGAAATGTTTTATAATTCTAGGAATATTTAAAGAACAAAATGTAACAAACATCCATCAATGTAGGGTTTTCTTTCATACCCTGTATAATTAGTATTTAGCCTACTAGATTGCACCTTGGCACCTACACTCTTATTATCTGTATTGACACTCTAACACTTCTTCCCACACTTGTTTACTTGTCTTGTGTGCATTACTTAATTGGTTTTTGATTTCTCACATCTTCATATCACTGTCACTTCCGCATTGCGCGCATGGCTACGTCACCATCACGTGACGGCCAGCATGGCTCAATTTAGGTCGGGGTGTGTCATGTAATGGCAATAAAATTAAATGGAGTATCGCAAAAATATTATTTTTAAACAAAAACAATTGCACATTCTTTAATATAAACTTATCAAGAACTCTTGCAGCATGTAGTTCTTCACGTCCACTTGCACCATTTTCCAAGAGTTAAACTTGATAGAACACTTTTCCCGCACCAATCCCCTTATATCGAAAATAAGTTCGGCGTACACTTCAGCAGAACTTTTGTCACCAAATGATGGCAAATGCTTACGTCGGTACCTCTCTAATGTCACCACAGCTTTCTTCATTTTTTTTCCTACCACAATAAATTAAAACGTAATAGCCTATTAAAACAATAATTTCAACCATATCAAATGTAAAACAATTAACTTGACAATAATTTTTTTTTACCTTTCCTTTCATGAGAGCCTTCTCCCTCCCAACCTTTCGTTGAATCTGAAATCAAATCGACCATGGTTTGTTATAAAACCTTCGCAAAATAGGGTTCTGAAACTGTGTTCATATAAAACTTGACACACTTTGCGCGGCAAACCCTCGGTCGCGCAAGTTTGTTACAACTCCCTGCTATAAATGGGAGCGTTTGATGCCTGACTGAACAATTTGACTATGTTCATAAAACTTTGTGCGACGAACAGTAGTAGTCGTCACGCTAAGCCATCTTGCGCGGCAAAAGACTTTGTCGTGCAAAGTCATCTTGTGCGATGAAATCTTCGTCATCACGCAAACATCGGAAGAAAAAAAAAACTTTCCACAAAATAATTAAAACCTTAAATAATTACAAACAAATATTCAGTTATAATATTTATTCTACAAATAATTAAAACCTTAAATAAATTGAATTAATCCATTCAATTATTTAAAAACCCAAACAGGAATTAAAGCCTAATTAATTCCAAATACATAACTTATAAAAAAAACCTTAAATTTGAATATTGTCCTCAAAAACATAAATTTAAAGCTACTGTTTCGATGGTCCTCAATTCTGCTCCATGTCATCATGCCATCGCTTGTAACCTCCCTTTAACGCCTCCTCCATCAGCTTCATCAACTCTTTGTTCGTATCATCATCAAAAGTATACTTACACTGTTACACTTATATGCAAATAATTAATTCCAACATATAACAAAAAATGTCACAAAAATTAATTATTGATATATCAACAGTATACTTACTAATAAATGATCCATCACCACCTTCTTCGCATTCTCAGGCACATATTTCCAAGAACGTCACTAGGCAATAGGATAATATTACTTATAGCTTCACCAATTGCATGCGTGAACTCCACATGCCTCAAATCATAAGGGTTGGTGCGCACGCTCTCATTCCGGTTTTTATCCTCCATCACAGCACGAACATAATTGTGAAGAACAAGGAGAGCAGAAGCGCATATTTATAGGAAGGTTAGGGTCTTTGCACGACGAAGGCTTTGTCGTGCAAACATCTGCACTAAATACATTATTGATTCCTTTGATTCACATGCACTGAATTGTCGAAGGCAAAACTGATAGTAGCTTGTGCGACGAAGCCTTTTTAGCGCATGTTTTGCGTGCCAAAAAATTTACCCGCGTTTTTCCTTTCATACTTTGAGTGACAAGTATACTGTTTTCATCGTGCAAATTGGGTTTGCCTAACAAAGATTTGCATCGCTCAAAGTTGACCTTTTTTGCGTGACCAATATCCTATTTCATCAAGCAAAATTGTCTTGCGCGACGATTTTCCCATTGTCGTGCAAATAATTTTTTCTACTAGTGTTACAAGATATATCATTCAATGATGTGGAGCAAAAGTCTTCAACTCATGAAAATCTTAAGAGACATAAGCTACCGTTTCACCAACATACACATGCATAATAACATTTACTTTGGTTTGAAAAGCCAAATTGTTTCTTCTTCTTAATTTCAATATGTGGTATCCACATGTATATTACAACAAGCTAGCGATTTAGGTACTCTCTTTCTTTTTTAATTTTGAAATTTTTATTTTTATCAACTATACTCCAAATTAAATATATAAGAGAGTTTTAATGAAAATCCAACAATTTATCTTGCACTTAAATGTGGAGTACATGAGGCTAAGAGAGGAGTGTCAAAAACCACTAGCCAAAGAATAAAAACAAAGGCTACATGATGTCTAGTGCAAGCTGGTGCGGCAAATAGCCCCATAAAGAGATCAATGAAACTATATTTGATAGGTTAAGTTGAGCAAAAGTGTCAATTACCTATAAATTCGATCGAGATGCCGAGCGGGACATACGAGTGGTGCTGAGTGTTTTCGACGCATGTGGACGAGAGTAATCGAGCAATCATTTCATTGAACACTTAGTGAACATTTTTAGGTTTTGTACGTATTTCAAATTAAAAGTACTAATTGCATTGTATGAATTTTGTTTTTGGTGATTTGGCTTGTTTAAATTTATTTTGCAATTTAGATACAATCATTTTTACTAAGTTTTATCTATTTATTTATTTTGTCGACGGTTATTGATTGCTAACATAATTGGAATTACTTGAATTCCTGACATTTTAATAAATGGCGGAGCCAGCATAGGGTCATTGGTTATGCATAACCTCAACAACGTAAAAAACCTATGTATATTTGTATCTGTATTGTATTTGATCCTGTAAATAGTTAGGGCAAACTAATTTACAACCTCCTCCTACTAATTCTTCTATTCTTTTATCATCATGTCTTCTTTTCCTCTCTTCTTGTGTGCAACTCTATTATGAGCATGAAATGCTTGAGGAAATGCCTCAGTTTACAAGCCTTTGCAGTCTTCTACATTACTTTATAGTTTCCTATAGCCGCCTTTGACAAGTCCCTACATATCATAGTAGTTGTTGACATATGTTGACATAAGCCTTCAGTAGATGTTGGTAAGAATTAACATGTTCCTAACAGGTGCTCAATGAAATGGTCTAATAAAGTTTTTATGGTCGAAATCATATGATTCAATTATTTCAAAATTCTAACTCCACCACTAATTTTAACATATAATTTTTATTCTCTTTCAATTTCATGTCCCCATTGTCAACATAAACTAAATAAATAAAAGTTAGTGGCAATCTCTAGAGGAGATTCAGGAGATATTATATATGGATACTCATATTCTCTGCACATATGTCATTCCACTCTGTTATAGTCTTCATGCTAAAAGGCATATATCATTCTAAAAATTTTAAAGAATGAAAAATTAATGACTAAAGGTTGTAGCCATAATACATAGCCTACTCAAGCCATGCAATTCTATATATGGAACCTTTTTCTTTTAGCAATTCTTTGGAACTTAAACAAGCTTATCCTATATGTGCAGATCGTTGGTTAGAAGTGTGCGACAGAGGAGAAATTATCAAGAATGCATTTCATATTTACAACACAAACCAATAATGTAATATTAATTGAAATTAGTTAATTAGTTTTTTTTTCTTTCTTTACAAAGTGATATTTTAAACTATTCTAATATATTGAAAGAGAGATTAAAACTTTGGTGTAAGGAACGAGTTTGAATGGAAGAATGCATACGCGCTGTTCTAACCAACTCACATTTAAAGTTGCAACTAGTTGTTAAAGTGGATGACATATGTACATGGCATATATTTCGTTTCCGGGAAATTTAAGAACTGAATTAAGCTATGGTTGTAAAACATGCATGCAGGCATATATGGGCTTGACTATGCCTTCATCCTAGTGAGGTATATTTTGTGATTGATGGCAAACATCTCAAATATCCCACACTAATTTCTGAAATTAGTGCATAACTTCCCACATTCCCATTAATCATATGACGTGCTGATTGGGTCGAAGATCAAATGATCATATGACGTGCTAATTGGGTCTAAGATCAAATTAGACAATAATTGACTGGATGTTAGGGAAGGGATAGATTGGCCAATTATTGGAGGCCAAGGGTACGGATGGTTTGCTTAAGTTAGGGGTTGCCCTAACACCACTTTTTATAAAAAATAAATTAAAGAAAGATGGATTATTTTAGGTATTACAGTGCATGCTTCTCTTTATTCTCCACCAGCGACCTTTCAGTGGTATTTGGTGTGTTGTCCTTGTCTTTATAGATAATTGAAAGCACTAGTCGTCCATAAAAGCAATTTATATACCTTATGTTTCTTTTTAATTCAAGCACAGCCACAGGAAAAACATTTAATTACTCACCAAACTTACATGCCTTCCAAATTTCCATTTCAGTCCTTTTGAGTGTACTCGTAACTGAATTGAACATGTATAGCAAGCTCAAATATGTAAATGCTCATTCATGATGGGGTGTCCCAAATTTATATCGATTTTTTTCAATCTGGTTTCTATTGTTTTTCCATTTTAAGCTTAATTTTATTCCTCTATTCGAACTTCGGTGTTTTTCCTCTTTTTTTTTCTTTTTTTTTTCTTTTTTTTTTTTTTTTTTTCGAAAGTCTTTGATTGTACTGTTAAAATTTTTATAAACAGAAATGTGTTATTTTGATTGCAAAGTTAGAAAGAAAGTTTTGCCAAGACAATTAGGGGTTTTATGATAATTTCCACTGAGGGTCATACATTAAGTACTATTCTGTTAATTAACTATATAAGTCCACTAACTTGTTAGACTTAGTGCCCCAACAAAAGAAAAGTGGTCTATGTCACCTTTTCATTACAATTCAAAACTAAAAAGTGTAAAGCTTTGATTAATTTATAATTAACTGTCAATTTTCTGTTTATCTCTAAGAATTCCCAATTTTCTGTTTCTCTCTAAGAAATCCTCTCAAGTAGATTTAACGTTCCTTTACATTACATTATAGGTATATAGGAAGCACATATCATTTGGTCCATTAAAATTCTTTGAACTTGAATGAGAGTAGAGACCCTCAGAAAGAAACAAGATCCAACAACAAAGTTGCCTAACAACATGGCTTTCATGTTCCTCAAGAAGTTCAGCATCCTCTTTCTTCTGATTTCAGCATCATTTTTCTCATCCTCTTTCGCAGCAGGTTGGTCTTTCTATAAGTCTGCAGCCCTTGCTTTTAATTAGTCATATAAATCCTTGCATTGTCAGAGATGTGTCTGTATACACACATACACACACACGCATATATATATATATATATATATATGTATGTATGTATGTATGTATGTATGTATGTATATGTATATGCATGCACTACAAGAAAAAAGAGCTCTACTGACGAAACAATTAACGCCAAGAATTGGTATTTTTAGTAACCAAAATGATCCTCGTAAAACCCTGATTTCTTGTAGTTATACCCTCATGCATAATTAGCAGCTCCAGAAGCCCCTTAGTCATGATATTTATGAAAATTTAGCTAGTGTGCATGGATTTGATCTTTTGCTTGATACTTATTACGTCAGAGCAGATCATGCATATAAATAAAGTAACTACTATAGTTTTCATAAACTTCTACTCTTTTGATTCTTCTAGGAATATTGTGCAACAAGATATTAATTTATGCAAAAGAAAGAATTTCACTTTGCTTGATACTTATTACGTCAGAGCAGATCATGTAGAAGCATATAAATAAGGGAATTTTAACAAAAAGTTTCCGGTACTATTCACTTTAATGAAAAATCACATTTTTATACTAAAAAGTCAATCTTTGTACTATTCACTTTACCCTTTATTTTCAAGTCTTTTCCATTAGTTTTCCTTATAAATAAAGTAACTACTACAGTTTTCATAAACTTCTACTCTTTTGATTCTTCTAGGAATATTGCGCAACAAGATATTAATCTATGCAAAAGAAAGAATTTCACCCTTACTCTTAATATGCATGATATGAGAACTGCATTTGCAGGTCGAAAATCGAAGTTTGTCAACAAGTTGGCCAAAGAAGTGGATGCAAACACAGAGGTTTGTAACTAGAAAGGCTTCAGAAATTCTGGTGTTTATGATCTCCTCCTTCTTCTTCCTCCTCCTAATTAATTAGTATTACTTGTATAAATTCATAAGTTTTGCATCTGACTCGCGCGTTATCTGATTTTCATGTGGTAGGAAATGTTAGGGAAGCCATTGAACCACGAAGAAGTAGCTAGAATCCATGAAAGGCTTCTTAGAGCTAACACCAAAGACTATGGACGATATGATCCAGCACCTGCTCTTGTTAAGCCTCCTTTCAAGCTCATTCCCAACTGAGATGATCGTGATGGTTTAGCGTTTTAGCCTTCGGCGTTTGCAGTCGGATTAGTGACTTAATTATATTAATTAAATAAATGAAGTAGCTTCTGTGTACCCACTACTATAAAAGAAATCCTAGCTAGTGTAATTATGTGAGATATATATAGACATATATACTAAGTTTTAAAGTGTAATATTGTATTTTAATTAAGTCATATGAAGAATGATGTTTATGCGTGTAGGGCATTTAGTTTCACCTATATATGTCTGCATGAACTGAATAATGACCAATCTATATGCGTAATTCTGGGAACTCATCCCCTCTTGCAGTTCTTTGTTTTGTTTGGAGTTATTCAGATCATACATTACGATATATACTTTTTTGTTTGTTTGTTGAAAATAACATATGAATTACAACATTTAGTTTTGAATGTTACATAATATAACTGCTGAAAATTGTCAGTAAATAATTAGCATAGAGTGACATCTAGCTTTTACTTTGTCAAACAAATTTCTGAATTTAAATATTATGAATGACATTTGTTGTATTTACAAATATAAAATGAGAAGGTTCAAAAACTAGTAGAAGAATAATTAGAAGCCATGGTAGTTTACTAATTTTTATTTTTATTTTTGCAAAAGGGCGCACCGAAGTTAAACAAGCAACAATAGAGTCTAACATGGTGTTTTTACAGTTTCAATTCTAAAGTAAAAACAGTTAAGTGTTTGGTAATATTAAGTTTTTACAGAATTTTGAGTGATAAAAATAATATCATAGTGTATGGTAAGAATCGTGTTCCAGTCTTTATATTCATTCCAATGTATAATTGCATTTAGTGGACTTTTGGAGTCTCATTCATAGAATATGTACCAAGAGAATATAATGAATAGAATAATTACATGGAAGTAATTACCATCAGTAGCGAAGTCAAGGTGGGGGCAATGGGATTCCTTGACCCCAATAACCTTGTGTCGATAGCCCAAGCAAGAAGAAGGAGCTGCTGCTCCATTTGTTAGCCATCACTCCATCAATGCCTCTTCTCCCCCTGCTAAATCTTCCCACCATTGTGAATCTACTGCCTGGCATCCTACAGATCATCAGACCTACGTTTTCGGCTTGCCCTGTCTAGAGTGTCGAATCGGCCGGTACTCCATCGTCGTCAAGTGGGGATTTGGATTCTTTGGACTCCTCGATGGGTTCCATACACTTTGCACAACCGTTTTATATAGACCTCGTTTGTGAGCTTCTATGCAGAGCTTGGTAAGTTGTGCGATGCGTGTAAGGTGTTTGAGGAAATGTCTGAACCATGTATGGTTACGTGGGATGTGATGATTGATGGGTTTGGGAAGAATGGGGATATGGGTTATGTTGTTTTGCTATTTGAAAGCGTGCCACAAAGGGGCGTGGTTTCAAGGACAAGCATTATAAACGAGTTTGGGAGAAATGGATGTTTTAGCGAGGGAATTCGGTTTTTTCAGATGATGATGAATCATGAGAATGTGAAGGGTTGTTTTGTGAAATGAAGCTACTTATGTTAGTGTGCTTTCTTCCTGTGTTAATTTGGGTGGGTGGGGATCTATTTATTGGGGGAAGCAATTACATGGGCATGGGTCCAAATCCGGTGTCATTGAAGCTCTTGCTCTTGGGCCAAATGCCGGTGTCTAATACTCCGATGATGACATCACCAGCCGAGGGTAAATTTCTAACCCCATCATTGTAAATTTTTAGCTTCGCCACTTATTACTATTAACCATAGTCATTAGTGATGACATGGTTACTTAAGAGTGAAGAATGTGATTAGTTGAGAAGTGTGGTTAGTTGTAAAGTGTAGGCAGTTAAGGTGGTTATAAGGATAAGTTTGTTAGAAGATGTTGTGGTAATAACCAAGAAGTTAGAGGGTATTATTGTAATTGAGCACATCATTTAGCTCTATAAAACCAATGTGTAAATTGCCATTTATGGCATCTAGAAATATACAATCATTCTCTATCAACACATACTCTTTCTTATTGCTCTCTAGTTTTTCATCTCAATTCTTTACATTTGTTAAAAGATCTTAGTGAAGTTAATATGGTATCATCGCCAGCAAAGGCTCACAACCATTTCTAATCCTGAAGCTTTCATCTCTTCCGCTGATTCAACTTTGAAGGTCCTCTGGTTCTTGGTGGTGATTCAATTCTGCAGTTCTTCAAAAATTGGGTTTTGAAGGTTCGCGACATTGTTGATGTTGCTAAGGTGCTATTGTTTGTATTCTCAATCAGTAATTTGGAGATTTGATTCGTCAGTATTCTGCATCTGTGTTAACCATTCTACAATTAAAAGTTTCCAAGATTCTATGGTTTGGGAATTTTGAGTTGATTGCTCGAATGTTCATGTGATTTCTAAATTTTTTTTATTTGTTGGTAATTCAAGAAAGTGTCAATCTTTCTTGATTTAGCTGAAGATATCAATCTTTCTTGGCATATAAAGAAAGTGTCAATCTTTCTTGAATAGTAAGTGCCAATCGTTCTTGGATAACTAGATAGCAGTAAGTATCATTCTCACTTCAGAGGGTGAAATTCTTCTATGAAGTATTGCAATTTGTGTTTCTTGAGTATTTCATCATGTCTACAACTACTGTTAAGGTTGAGAGTTTTTTGGGCATGCTTACAATAAAACTGAAGGATGACAATTTTGCTAAATCGGCATTTCAGTTTAAGTCAGTTCTTAAATACTATAAAATGTTTGGTCATTTTGATGGTACTGATGTATGTCCACCAAAATTTGTGATACATACTAACACTGGGATCACAACTGAGATTACTACATCATACATTGAATGTGAATCAACAGATATACCATTGCTCAATTTGTTATTGGTAACTCTATCTGATGAAGCTATTGAATATGTTCTTGGTTGTAAAACTACATTTGAAGCTTGGTCAAATCTTGTGGAACGTTTTGCCTCTGTGTCTCCATCAAAATTTAAATATATCATCTACAAGTTTCATGCTAGAATGTTAGATTTGTGGAAAAAGATGACATTTTTCACTAGAGTGTTTTCACAGGGAAAATTATGCATTTCAAGGTCCACCTCCACCTGCAACATTGAATGCTATGGCAACATAACAAACACCTCAATATGTTAAACAAGATTCATGGATTGTTGACGCTGGAGCTTATCATCGTATTGCTGTTGATGTGAATGCATTCAATCAAGTCACTCTATTTGAAAGTTGGAAGAAAATCACAATTGGCAATGGCACAGGTCTAACAATTAACATATTGGTTCAACTATACTCAAACACAATTCTCATTAATTGATCCTTAATAATGTGTTACATGTTCCTAAAATTGCAAGGAGTCTTATTTGTGTACAACAATATGTGTTGATAACCCTAGTTAGTTTATTTGAGATGAAAGTGAGTTTTTTGTGTAAGATAAGAAGACAAAGGAGATTTTGTATCAAGGAAAGAGTAAGCCTAGGGAGCTGTTTCAAATACCAGTTGTGAAAGGATCAAGATGAGTGCAATCCACAATGCATAATTCAGCTTTTTAGGATAGTTGGTAAAGTCAAAACTTTGGCACCAAAAATTGGATCATCCAACACATGAAATATTGTCCGCTATGTTAAAACAGTCTAATATAAGTATAGATATAGATAGTACTCATAGTCTGTGTACTCATTCTATAAAAGGCAAGATGTCAAGGATTCCTTTTTTTGTTAGAAGTGATAAATGTTCTCTGCCATTTCAGAAGGTTCACTCAGATATTTGGGGACAATCTCTTATAAAATCTATTGAAGAGTATAAATATTATGTAATGTTTGTTGATGAATATACAAAGTTTGTGTGGATTTTTTCATTGTGCAACAAATCTGATACACTTGCTGTGTTTGTAAGGTTATATAATTTTGTTCACACTCAATTTGGAACTGTAATTAAATGTTTACAAACTGATGGAGTAGGAGAATACACTAGTCTTGCATTTAAAGCTTTTCTTGATTCAAAAGGGATTGAACATATGATCTCTTGTCCTTACTCCACAACAAAATGGAGTGGTAGAAAGGAAACACAAGCATGTTGTTGAAACTGTTATCACTTTGCTTATTGCTGCTGGTTTACGTGCTGAATTTTAGTATTATGCATGTGCACATGTAGTGTTTTTGATCAATAGGATGGCATTTAAGTCTTTGGCACTAGATCATCTTACAAAAGATTGTATACCAAGCAACCAGATTTGAAGTCTATAAGGATATTTGGTACTGCTGTATATCCATGGTTAAGACCATATAACAACAATAAACTACAACCAAGATCTGAGAGATGTATTTTCTTGGGATATTCAATGGGTTATAAAGATGTTATCTATTACAATCCCAAAACTAGGAAATGCATTGTTTCAAGGCATGTACTTTTTGATGAAATGGTATTTCCTTATATTCAAGACTCATAACAGAACATGTCTCAGAAACCTATGGATTCGTTTACATCATCTCATTTGGTTAGATTAGTTGTTATTCCAGTTCCAATTCCAACACTAGTTCTACATCATGAAAATGCAGCAAATCAAAATGGTCATCTCTATTCAGTTTCTTCTTTAAGTCAGTCTGGGAACATTTCTTTACAAGATGAGGGGTCTTCCAGTATTTCTATCAATCCCAATGCTTCTACAAACACAGAAAATCAAGATATCAGTAGTCAAGTGCATGGCTCAGCATCTACAATAGGCAATACTCTTTCCTCCTCATCTGATACACCTCTTTTGCTTCTTGTCCTTGATCCTACACAACTCCAGGTAATATTCCCTATTTCTTCTTCACTTGACACTCACAACACTGCTCAATGTTTAGATCATAGCATCCAAACTCGACTAAAGACATAAGCTATTCAAAGACAAAACTATTCATCTCTTGTTGCTGCTTTACTAGAGTTAAAATCATTACAATTCTAAGATTCTAGTGTATCATCAGAATTTGATTACATGTGTGGAAGATTCTCATTTATTAATGATATAACTGAGGTTGAAGAACCTAAACATTTTAAAGCAGTATCCACAATAGTACAATGGCAAAATGCCATGCAAGAGGAATTCTATGCATTGACAACTCAAGGAACTTTGAGATTAGTTCCCCCTCCAGTAAATAGCACTATTATTGGGAGTAAATGGGTGTACAAAATCAAAAGAAATCCTGATGGGACAGTTGCGAGGTATAAGGCAAGGTTGGTGGTGCAAGGTTACAGTCAAGAACAAGGTCTAAACTACTTTTAGACATTCAGTCTAGTAGTTCGACACACTATAGTTCGAATAA